GAAAATACAAACAGAGTAAATGGGACACAAAATTACCACATGCGTGGCAAATCTGGGAATAGAACAGAAAAGAAACGAGATTTAAAAGCTGAAAGGGGGAAGGGAAGTGAGATTTTTGTGTGTGTGTGCGTGTGTTTAGGTGCTTACTTAATCGCCTTTCAGTGCAATGAATTTAACTTTGTGAATCGTATTATATTCGGTGCTGTCATCTTTTGCTCCCTCAAAGAAAAAAATAATTGGATGCTTGGAAAGGGGGGAGGGGAACCCACTCCTCAGTAGCATGAAGGAATATCTTCCAAAATTAATCGCAGCAGTGCAAGAATTGCTCCTGCCCGCTGCGTTTTGTCGCTCAGATCACTGGAACAGAGGAATGACTTCTGAGGGTCCAGTAAAACACAAGCCATTACTGCTCGGTGTTTATCCCCTGCCAGTTAAAAAAAATGTTGCCATTTCCCCAGGTGCCTCTCCAAGGGTTCACTCCTCCTTTAACAATATTTGACATGCCATCTCTTACCTGCCAGCCACCATCTCCCCCTTCGGGGAGGGTGGGGGGGAGGGAATTCACCACCGTTACATAACAGTTACCTGGAGCATTGCACGTGTTCCCAAACCAGGGGTGCCTCTGGACTGCAGGCGGGAGATGAATTTCTGCAATATTGCAGACAAGTGCAAATGGCTAGGAAGAAACTTTCAGAGGGCACTGCTTTCCAGTGTTCAAATGTTTCCCTTGTGCATTTCACAGTTCGTTCCTTTCCTGCTCATTTAAGAGAAAGGCAAGTAACATGTTTAACCCTCCCCCCAGTAGTGTGCAAGTAGTGTAATGAAACAAATTATATCTATAGATCCAATATAATGCCTTCCTGCTTTTATTTCCCCCTTCCTCTGGAATGCTGCGTGACACCACTAACCACAGGCAGCATGCAGTGTAACCTCAGACCCTGTTAGGGAGCGGGGCTCAGCATCCTCTGAGCTCCGGTGCTTTGCAAGCTCCTTCTGAGACTAGCGAGACCTTTCTTTTTTTTGTTGTTTACACCAGCAGATACCACTCCCTCTATCATTTACCTGGAGCATAAAGAAATTAATTAGCTGTTTGGCAAGAGTGTAGCGGGGCACGTGGCTGCTTTGATGCTGTCAATCAGCCTGTGTCTCTTTCTCATACATGGGAGCTGTGCAGACAAGGGAGATTGGCCTGTGGGTGTTAACCCCTGTCCCCCTTGTTTAGGGTTTTAATTAGCAGGAGTTCAAATGAAGAACAGTGAATGGATGCCTCTTGAGCTGCCCCTGGTCCTCATCTTCTTCTCCCTTTTCACTGCAGGAGCTGGAGTGGCCGGAGCCTTCGGGGTAGCCAGCCATGATCGCCACTGGAGGCCTCCTGAGGATCTCAGCTAGGAAACAGGACCCCTTGCGACCCCAAAGCCAAGTCCCCAAGCGCAAACGCAAGGCTAAAAAGAAGCGCAAGAACGACGTGGTGGTGGTAAAAGGCAAGCTCAAGCTGTGCTCTCTCTCGGGGCTCATCGCCCTCTGTGGCATCCTGGTATTGCTGGTGGGCATCGCCTTGGCCGTGGTGGGCTACTGGCCGAAGCCCAGCCAGGTGTACAGAGAAGGCAGCTTCAGCGGGAGCTGGCACCTGGCACCGCAGGGTGGCACCTCCAAGAACCACCTCCAGAGCGAGGAAGGGGCACAAGCAGGGATCCATCCAGAGTAACTCCCCAGAGCAAACACGTCCACCACTACTACACCCCAAGGGTCCCCACGGTCCCCCCCTACTTCCTCGTCCCCCCAGGCCTCGGTGGGTTTCCTTTTCCATCTTTTCTCAAGCTACTTGCATTCAGACAAGCTGAAGGTGCTGGGCCCCCTCATCATGGGTATCGGCATCTTCCTCTTCATCTGCGCCAATGCGGTATTGCACGAGAACCGTGACAAGAAGACCAAGATCATCAACCTACGTGACCTCTACTCCACCGTCATCGATGCCCACAGCCTGCGGACCAAGGACGGAGGCACCCCAGCCTCAGCCCCTCTCAACGGCTTTGTCAGCTACGTGCAGTCGCGGGGCTTGGAGCTAAAGCCTGGTGCTGACGGCCTAGGTGCTGCGGCCATGCTGGCCAAGAGCTCCTGGCCACCAGGACTGGG